GTGTGGAGCAGCTAGATGGCCGTGCTAGATCAGGGGAGAGCAGCGGCCGACGACGGATTGCAGCAGATGAGCAGTCGTCGACTTGTGGATGGCAAACGACTAGGGGAGGGGGGGAGGCGCTAGGGGAGGGCTGCAGCCCTAGGGATCGGGACTGTATCAGGGCTTGTGCAGAGATTGAGAAGGTGTTTGCGTCAGACTCGGGCGGGTCGCAGACATACGTGCGCAGCAGTTTCTCCTCGATCGGGGCCCCAAAATTTTGGGGGCCCTGTGCGGTCGGCCAATTTGGCCGCCCTTATCGACGGGCCTGCGCATGCGTACTGCAGACGCACGCGCACGCGAGCTGCACGCAATACGCCCGCGAGCTGCACACATACGCGACCCCTGGAGAGGGAGGGAGCTTCTTGTAGGCCATTGGAGCAGTCAGAAAGGAATCGCAGCCGTCGTCCTACTCATCAGCCACGGTTGTGGGAAGAAGCATAGGAGACGGCGGAGGCCATGACCACCGGATCTGAGGAGGGGAAGCCGTGCGGCCATCGCGCCGGGATAGCACCTTAGCCTCACCGAGATCGAGGGGAGGCGACCCGATAGGAAGAGGATGGCCGCCGGGGAGGCACGGAGAGCTCGGGCGGATGCATAGTTGTCGGGGTAGCTACCCAGGGGGCAGGGGGTGGACGAGTGAGGTGGAACCTGATCCCGCCGGATCCGGTGGTTGCTTGGCAGGGGCGTGGCCGGAGTTGATGGCTGACCCTGGGGGTGACGGCGGCGGGGCGTGAGCCGTTGGCAGCGGTGGCTCGTATCTACGGCGGCGTGAGAGGAGGGGTCCGGGATGGGGACCAGGGGGCGGGGAGGCGATGGTGTGCTCCTCGATCCTGTTGCGTGGCGGCGTGGTAGACCGAAACCACCCGGATCCGTCCCCGAGGAGGTTCTGGGGGGAAGGTGGTGGTAGGTAGCCAGCGCCGGCGCCAGGGGGACACCCAAGATTTGGCCCAAACAAATCAGTAGATGTCTTCATTCAACGACCCACAAGCCGACAGCCCACACAGCATGCCGGCTACAGGCCTACAATTCAGCTGATCACCTTGTTACATTGATTCGTTCGACCCCAATCCATACCCCAACCTAACCTAGCGCGAGCGGCGGCGGCGGCGGTGTGGCCAGTACTACAAGCAGCGGCCAAGGGCCAACGGAGCCGGCGACGGGCGACCAGGTTCCATTCTCCTTGTCGATGTCTTCTCTTAGTTCTCTATAATTCTCTTCCCCTAAGGCCCTAGGTCCCAGTCAGTTCCTAACTTCCTATAGCGTATAGATTAGAACGATCCAGACACTAGTTTGCTAGATTACAATTTTGCTATTTTAATGTAGTTTGCTGGAACAATCAGGTTGCTACTTGCTAGTACATCTAATTTGCTAGAACGACCAGGTTGCTAGCAGTACTAGTTTGCTAGATTGCAATTATGGTATTTTAATCTATCAATTTTCAGAGGGTATAACAGTTTTGGTAGATTGCTGATCTATTTTTTTTACCTTGTATCATAGATGAAGAAGGGTGTTAGCATATTTGCATTGTGGGAAAGAGCTTCGAAGGCAAAGAAAACATGTTCTACATCTACTGATCTACATCAAAACCTTTGCTGGTTTGTAATCTTTCTTAAATGCTAGAGATATTGCTGCAATGCCATTTTGTTACTATTATGCATATATGGCAGCAGTACTGGCATATGGTCATTGGCTCATTGCCGTTGGTATTGATTCTGCCAGTAGCTACTGCTAGTGTTGAAAGTGTTGTGTTGTTTGGTTCATATACTACATTTAGAGCAAAAAAAATTTGGATGAATACCCAGGCTTCATTTCCTGACGCCGCCACTGTAGGTAGCCTGGATGGGGTTGGCCGGATCCGTGCCCGAAGTGGACTCCTCGAGAAGGAGCAATAGGGAGGAAGGGGGCGCACCATGGCTATGGGTTGTGGAAGAGCGCGAGGTGGTGGGGTGGCGCCGTGGAGGGAGTTGGTGCGGCGGCACGGGGAAAGGTAGGTGGTGCGGTGCCGCGCGAGGTGGTGGTGGGGGGGCTCGGTTGCGTGGCGCCCTGGCCTGGGGAAGGTAGCGCAATGGTCGGCGGAGTTGGTGCGGCGGTGTGGGGGAGGTGGTGCGGTGGTGGAGCATGGGGTGAGAGAGAGGAGTGGGTGGCTGAGGTGAGGATAAGGTGGGGTGGTTTTTTTTGCTTTGTTGTGCAATTCGTTCGGTTCCTTCGTGCGGTTATGTTTTGTAGCGGATAGGTCTCGAGATGTTAGCAGAATAAGATTAGGTTGTTAGCAGCATGTGTTAGCAGAATAGGATAAAGCTATTTTGTTACTAGTAACAGAATATTATATGGAAAACGTTTCTAATCATCCGGTTGATTTCAGCCAGGCGTAAGCCGCCTCTGCAAGTCGCCACGTGTCTGTGATTCGGGATGACTCCACGCTTGTTCATTGTGTCCCTGTCCCACTACTGTTGTTGCGTGTGCGGTGTGCCCATGTGAGACCGCTGCTGCAACTGTTTTTCTTTCTTTCGAGAGAATGTGCTACTACTGTTTAACTCGCGCACCCGCATGCGCCTACACCGCTACTGCTGGTACTCTCTCTCATCCGCACTTCACTGCCATGGGCGTCAGCCTTTTTCCTTTACTGAGTTGACCACATGGCTCTACATGCTGCATGCATTAACTGGTAAGAAGAAGCTAGCTCTACAAAGATTGGCACTGACCATTGTCCATTAGTAACAGCAATTTTCCCGCAAATGAAAAGTTCACAATGCAATCAAGGCCAACATAGTGTCTGATGCAAATATAGTCCGTGTTGCAAACTGTCTTTTCCTGTGATATAACTATATAAGTGTTTGGCTGTTCCCCGCAAAAAAAAAGGTTTGGCTGGTCTGTTTTATTTGTGTGAAAAAGCTTACATAAGTGTAATATATTTTTAATTGATATTTTCCAACGATCAAAATAGATATTTGCTACATGAGAAAGTCAGTAACACGGACACTAGAAGGATGGGTGATGCTACTGCATACACTCGACGCTATAAAACTAACCGGTTGTAAAAACAGACGCGTGACGTTGGGTGGTCGGTCAGTACCGCTGCAAAGTGCAAACTGGACATGCAATGCTACAAGTCGGCTCGCCACTAGCTTTTCTCGCTTGTGCTATTTTGTTGTTCGACTGACATGCAGATGCCTCCAGAACTATTGAAAGCCGCGCACTACAGTCGTCTGATTTGGACGCGTTAGCCATTTAGCTGTGACCAGCATTTGCATCATGACTCATGTTGCACTTGCCATTTGCAACATGACCTATGTTGTGCTCGGGAGGTTCTGAAACTAGGCCATCGTTGCAAACACTCATCGCCACACAACATCGCAATGTTGCGGCCATCGCAACATGCCCCAGGTTGCAACCCCAACCTTTCCCAAGTTGTAGCCATCATCGCACAGCATCGCCAATGTTTTTGCCATCGCAGCATGTTCCATGTTGCAATCACAACCTCTCTTAAGTTACACCTGTCGCCGCACAACATCACCCACGTTGCGCTCGCAATATGACCGAGGTTCTAGTCGTCACAACATGTCCCACGTTGCGTTGCTATGATGGAGCATCATCGGACCGCCGGAGCATCACCGGTGCTATGATGGAGCATTGTCGGACTGTCGAAAATATCGCCCGTGTTGCAACGGAGCTTTGTGGAGCATTGCCCATACTACTACGGAGCGTCGTCGACCATCGGGGCATCACCCGTGCTGTGATGAAGCATCATCAGGGCCACCGAAACATCGTCGTTGCTGCAATGAAGCTTTGTGGAGCATTACCGGTGGTGTTATGGAGCATTGTCGGGTCGTCGGAGCATCAGTGGTGCTACGGTGAGCATTGTCGTGTCGTCGGAACATCATCGTTGCTACAATGGAGCTTTGTGGAGTATCATCGGTGTTGTTATGGAGCGTCGTCGGGGCCGTGGGAACATCGCCATTGCTACAATGGAGAACGTCGGTGCTGCGATGGAGCATCACCGGGAGACCGGAGTATTGTCAGGTCATCGGAGGATCATCGGTGCTACAATGAGCATCATCGGGGCCGCGGGAACATCGTTGTTGCTACAATGGAGCACGTCGGTGTTGCGATGGAGCATCGCTGGGCCGCCAGAGTATCGTCAAGTCATCGGAGGATCACCGGTGCTACAATGAGCATCGTCGGGGCTACCGAAACATCGTTGTTGATATAATGGAGCGCGTCGATGCTGCGATGAAGCATCACCGGCCCGCCAGAACATCCTCGGTGTCATGATGAAGCAATCGTCGGACCGCCGGAACATTGATGGCGCAACGAAGGAGCATCACTGTCGCTATGATGGAGTATCGTCGGGCCACTGAAACATCGTCGGTGCTGCAACGGAGGGTGGCTGAGCCGTTGGAGCATTGTCGGGCCGCTGAAAAATTGCCGGTGCTGCAACGGAGCATGGCTGAACCGTCAAAGTATCACCGACACTACAATGGAGCATAGCCGGGTCGCCGGAGCATCGCCGGTGCAGCAACGGAGCATCAACGGTGCTTGAAAGGATGGTCGCACTAGTGGCGTTGCTGCAACCCCAGAGCTCATTGGCGCTGTTGCCGTGGCTGATATATGGCAAGCTCGACGGCCATTTTGCTGTAAGGTGACCGGCCATATGACGTGTTGATATATGGAGCATTGTCGCGGGACACAATTCTGCTGCTCTCGTAGAGTATGCGTGTGCGGGAATATTGTTTTTTTTTTTTTGACGGGTGCGGGGATATCACGTTGGTGGCTAACATGTGCAAGTTGGGATTTAAGTCCTGCTGTGGTCCGGTCGTCGAGGAATCCAGCGGCCCAGATCGTACTGTATTAGCGGAAATCAACGACGGGCAAGGCGGCTTATTTTCCCGGGACATCATCCGGATGACGCCTAGTAGGCGCCTAATATTGTTACTCCGGCACCCTATAGACACGCGCATTGTTTACTGCACGAGAAAAACAAAGAAACACCCCACCCTCCCGACCCATCCCGATCTCACCTTCTTCTGGCTCCCAGCACGGCTCTGCCCCCATCCTCTCACCGCTCCTGACACCGCCGGCCCCCGCCCGCTCCCCGGCTCCTGGCGCCGCCCGTCCCCATCTCCCCCCGGCTCCCTGCGCCGCCCACACCCCACCTTCTCCTCGGATCCCGGCGACTCCTCGCCCCCACCTCCTTCCTTGCTCCCGGCGCCCAATCTCCTAGGATCCCGGCGACGCCTCGCCCCCACCTCCTTCCTCGCTCCAGGCACCGCCCGACCCCCAACCTCCCTGGATCTGGCGTCACTCCACCACCACCTCCTACATCCCATAGCAGCGGTCGCCCCTGCCGCCTGTGTGCGCCTCCGTCATCCTCCCGGCGCCGGTTGTGCGCATCGCCCCACGCCGCCTGCCACGCGAGCGCCCACCCCAAACCGCTGGCTCGCCGGCTTGCCAGGCAACCGCTGGCTTGTTCTTCCTCTGGCCACCGCTAGCTCGCCGGCCGTTCACCTTCGCCACCTACTGAAGGTCGGCTTTTTGAAATAGCCATCATGTATACAACAACTACGGCAGGTGACCTTTCACACATGCCCCTGTCCTCTCTCTAGCAGATATGTTTTTCTATCTGTATTGTAGCTTGTTCTATTCTGCTTGTTTTTAGAGGAAAAAGAGATAGTTCTTCACTGTCTTGCTCGTGTATGCCAATGAATTTACACGGTTCAGCTGCTTATGCGTTTGCACTAATGATAATTCAGCCCTGTTTGCTTATATATGGTACTGAACTAACCATGTTACTGAACTTGTGTTCTCACTAATTCTGAACTTGTGTTCACTCTTATGTATTACAGTGGCCTTGGATGCGCCCAACGAAGGACAACGATAGGCAAAAAAATGCTAGTGCAGCTGCTTGCCTCCTCTTCATATTCCATACCAGAAAACATCCTTCGCCCCTTTATTTTCTTTAGTAAGTTTTCATTAAAAGACCTCAGAATAGCAAGTAGAAGTTCGGCACAAGGACCTACATCAGTTCAACTACAGAAACAGAACAAGTCCATGAGATTATAATTAAGTTCAAAATTACTACATGGTCATGTATTTAACAGCATGTCCATGAATTAGTACATGAGAAGTACAAAAAATACTACTGGTTATAGTTCATTTAAATCATGACATCTGAATCGGGGTCAACCCTTGCCACCATGCTTCTACACGGCCGGACACCATGCCTCCTTTCACCACCCCATGGCAAGAGTTAGTTTGGTTGGAAATTATGTGCACTGAACTTGTCGATTGTTGTATCTGTGAGAGTTAAATTTTTGTTTTAAAAGTTTACCATTAATTAGAACAATTTTGATGAACCGTGGGAGCTCAGTTAGCTGACAAAAAATCTTTTGCTTAGTGCCTATATGATACCAGGAGGCACTGTTCATGTAAGAGGTTCAAAGATTGTAGTGGAGCAAGTCTAGCTTCTTTTTCAGTTCAGATCAATTTCTAAATTTCATTCAGTTCAAGCCTTATTGTAGTGTAAAGTTCAGTTGGAGGTATTCGTCCAGCTGCCGATGCAGTGCTGGCCATTCTTGGCGCTGCCTATGTTTGATCAAATGTCAAAGAGAACCTCATCTAGCTCTCCGTGTCATCTGTCATGTGAGTGGCTGTGCTCAGTGAATGCGTGCCTCATCTAGCTCTTTTTGATACCTTTGTTCTTCCAGTCCTTGTAGAAGACAGAGCTCCCATGATTCACACATGGAACCCAGATGATTCCATTTCTTCGTACCCCCAAGTGCTTTAATGGTGGCACACTACGGGTTTCAGGTTACTCGTGTGTTAAGACTAGCTAAGATAGACTCGCATGTGAATGATTCTTTTTTTTTCCTTGTCATTCTTGTACAGCCTGCCATGAAAAAATGTGACAACATAATACTAAATATTTGTGTATTCTATTCTATCGTCAGTTCATAGAGAAGCAATTCTCTTTTCTTCAGTGTGTACTCTATCATCAGTTCCGTGTTTATTTATGTTCTCTTTTCTTCAGTCCACAAGAAGAAATATTGTCAGTTCAAGAATGGAGAATTTTTGTACTAAACTTAATATTAATTCGGTGTGTATTCTATCGTCATTACATGAAAAAACACAGAATAGTTGGTGCCTGTGCAGAAATATCGTTAGTTCAAGTTTCAAAATTCTGTAAGTTTAGATATATCACCCAAATAAGTGATGATTTTCAGCGAGTTTCTTCAGTGTCAATTCTGATTCAAGTGCCCTGTTCTTCCTAGCACATATGGTGCTTGTATTAATTCCTATGGGAGAATAGCACGTACATGAACTGTTTACTAGTGATGAAAACAGGATAAAGTCCTAAGATAATATAGGTACTAAGCAAGCACTCAACTATGTGGTGTTTTAAACAAAAGTAATACTTTAACTAAGTTTTACAAATGTTTACACTAATTGTGTTATAGTCTGGTTGCATTTGATTGACGAACTCGTGTCCACAAAAAGTAATACTACTTTAACTAAGTTTTAAAAACGTTTGCATAAAAAACAGTTCAAACGTAATTGCACAAAAGGTTCAATATGTGGTGTCTTAGGAGTCTCATAATGCAAAATATACCGGTGATTTTTTTTCTGGTTGTATTGACTTGATACATTATTATGATTGTTCCCGGGAGTCTACAAGTGCAGGAATGGCAGTCCCAGACTATTGACACCGAAACATTTGAGATTTTTCCGGCTCAGTGTCAGTGATAATAAACAAGTCATTAGGCGAGCACATTCTTTGGATAATGAATTAGATGTTCTAGGACCTGCACAGGTTGTTAGTGGAATTAGGCGAGCATATTCGTTGGATAATGAATTAGGCGACCAGCAGTCCAACCCGGCCGCCCCAAGCCGTTCACCATCGCAGCTACTAGGCCGATTGTGTTGAGCCTCCTGCCACTGCCGGTGGGGCTCCATTGCCGCACCGCCCATATCGTTCACCGCTGCCACACCGGGGTGTTGACAACCCCGCGGCTCAGGAGGCACACACTTCGCCCCTCCATCCCAGGAGAGAGTACATCTCCTTGTGCGCGAGCAGTCCATTGCCGATGTACACTGCTGCTCTAAGCTCCTTGGCCACTGCTCCAATATGTCCAGCGCCGTCCCCAGTCCAGTCTCGTGGCATCTGGACGGTCGAGTTCATGCCGAGCAGCAGTCCACGGCCGTCAGCTCCTATTTCCACTATAGTGGCTGGGTTGCCGTTTTCCTCATCCTTCCTGGTGCATGACAACCCAGCCCACATGCTGCTGCCGTCCGCCACCCCAAAATAGCTTTGGCTCTTCCTTAAGCAACCATTTGGAGAACCTTTTGGTGTTTTTTCTGCTGGTGATTGATTTTAGCAATTTGTAGCTATCTTGCATTGGAACCTGAAAGTTCAAGATTGCTGTAGATTCAATTCTTGTAGTATAAATGTCCCAGAGTTCAGTGACATCTCTAATATTGTGCTCAGCATCCTCCCAATCCGCTCGATCTCGTCCTGCTCCGGAGCATGCTTCAGTTCAACAAAAAGCTCCGGAAAAGTTCAGAGTTCGGAGTACTTTGCATCCATGGGCTAAAGTATATTATTTTTTGGAATGCTACATCATAATCAGCTCTAAAAATTAGCTTATGTCCTCTCTAACTCTTTTTTGCATCTCATATGACAGGTCGTGGATTGCGCCCTGCACGTCGTTTCGCAATGAGCCAGGATAGAGGTTGTTGGACACTGTCGTGCACGCCGTGAGCAGCTGTGGCCGTTGGACACCCGTTCGGTCAGTTGTCTTCCTTGGTTTGTCTATTGAAAATCAAATCGTTGAATTTTCAACTGAACCGTTGAAAAGTTGGTTATGAACCTGTGACCTTCTGTTTGAATTGAACGGTTGAACTGATGGACTACTGCCTGTGATCTTTAACTGTTGGAATTGAAATGCTGAATTTGGTCATGACTTTACCGGGGACAAAGCATAGTTTAGTTTCTAATTTTACAAAGATCATGCGCAAAAATACTTGATATGCAGATACAAAAGAACTCTATAAAAGATCATGGGTTGGTTTGCTGAAGACATGTGTTTGTGTGTATATTTTTAAGCTCGTAGTTCTACATTATATTTACGTATCCTTCAAGATAGTGGAACTTCTAAGAAAATAGTGTTCTTTCGTTTGTGTCCAAATCAGAGCCCAGATAGACATTAGTCTTGTTCATCAGTTCATAGATAAGTACATCTATCAGTTCGATGTGTGTTATAGAAATAATTCAGATTTATTGGTTCATAAAATAAGCACAACGCTATTCTCGTGCATGTATTTGTTTACTTTCTTTTTGATAAAGTACTTGTTTAGTTTCTTGTATGGAAAATCATCCATGGGTGAGCGTTCATCTGAACGGCCCAGACTCTTGCTTACGGCCTGGATCTGGCATTTGCCGCCGCCCTGTGCTTAACCAGAGTCCCCGTCCTCCCCATTCTCTAGTGCAAAAAGCAGCCGCTCTGTCCTGCTCGCATCTTCTGCTACGTGGTGACGCCTCTTAGTATTAATTGCACACTGTTGATGTGTTCTTATTTAGTTAGACATTAGATGGATCTTTGCATGGCAGATCTTTGCGCTAGGTTGTTCTTATTTAATTTGTTAGTATCTTCCTCCTATTTTTCTGATTGATCATTTGGGTCATGAGTGGAGATAGATCACGGCCTGCTATCAGGTGTTTCTCTTACTGGTTTGCTGTTGATTCTTGGACATAGTATACTTTCTCGTATGTTTCATTAAATAAAGCACATCAAAACCTAAGTTAGTACTTAGTAATGTCAATTTTGTGATTCATCTTCTTTCCGTTGAGGATCTGCAGGAGTTTTGGCCAAGAACCATCGTCGGCCAGTAGGGTGTCACCTGATTTTCGTGCAACAACGACAACTTGGTAAGCCTTGCATAGACAGGCTTCGCAATGATGAATGCATGAAGATCTTTGTAGGTCCTGGCGACTGTGATAAAGGCAAGTGCTTAAGTGGTTTTTGCTGAAGAAGAATGGCCTAGCTTACCTGGCGTAGCAGTACTCAAAGTCAAGTATCGATGATGTGGAAGCATTGAAACTTTTCCTAGTTGCTTGACTTCAATAACTATGCCTTTTGAGATCGTACCATTTGGTCATCTTATGGCTTTGTATCGAACTTCTAGTCATCATGTTACAACCGTTCGATGAAGAAAATACATTAGTCCAAAAGCATGCAGGTGCTAATGCTGCAGCGATCTCGTTCGCAGCCGCAAGGATCTTGTTCTGTTTAATGTTGTTTGATGTTCATAGATACACGTAAAAGTTCACCGT